GCGTGGGGTAGCCACTGTTTAAGCTGGTATTTACTTTTTATCCAGCATTTTTAATGCTTAGCAATAGTAGCCACTAGTCTATTAAAATTAATATGAAAAGACTGTGTTACCCTTTCCTCCCCAAACGGAAATACACCGATGCATTCAAAACATAAAGACTTCGTATTCTCTGGTGTTTTTAACTTGAAATATGTTGTGTATTTCCCAGTTCCCAGAAGTGTTAGAGAAGAGTAGACTGGCAATCCAGCTACTGAGGTGACACTATCTAAGCAATGCTCAACTCAAGAAACAAAAACAAAGAGCCCAGGTAATTTAAGATCATTGCTTTGTGTGTATCAATATAATATTTTCTTTAGGTTTTAATTTGCGCTTGTTCAATACTGTTATGATTGACAACGATGCTTTTGGTTTTGAAAACAGCTGCTAATACAAAGATTGCGGATTCTGAGTTAAATGATGATAGTGACGAAGAAGTTCCTTATGATATTGATCCAGAGATAGAAATAGTCTCGCAAAATGTTGAACAGAAAACTCCTTCAGTCACTTCAGATGAAATACAAGTACTTGGTACCAAGGAAATGTAGTCTTGAAGTCCTAAAGTTAAGTTCAATAGTTAAGGACACAAGTTCAAAAGTTAAGGACAGTCAGTTCTTAACTTACAGTTACAAGTTCTAAAGTTAAGGACGGGCAGTTCTTAACTTACAGTTACAAGTTCTAAAGTTAAGGACGGGCAGTCCTTAACTTATAGTTACAAGTTCAAAAGTTAAGGACAGGCAGTCCTTAACTTACAGTTACAAGTTTAAAAGTTAAGGACAATAGGGCCCTAACTTTGATTTCCAAGTTCAAAGGTTAAGGACAAACAGTCCTTAACTTACAGTTACACGTTCAAAAGTTAAGGACAAGCAGTCCTTAACTTACAGTTACAAGTTCAAAAGTTAAGGACAATAGGTCCTTAACTTTGACTTACAAGTTCAAAAGTTAAGGACGCTTGGTCCTGAAGTTTGAGTTCCAAGTTCTAAAGTTAAGGACATGTAGCCTTCAAGTCCTGAACTTAGAGTTACAAGTTCAAAAGTTAAGGACATGTAGTCCTGAAGTCCTGAACTTAGAGTTACAAGTTCAAAAGTTAAGGACATGTAGTCCTGAAGTCCTGAAGTTAAGTACAAAAGTTAAGGACATGAACAGAAGGGTATTTTCGTCCGGGCAGTTAAAGTTTATTAAAGCAGCGGTTATTGACTAAAGACATTTTAAACGGTGGCTTAAAAGTAAATACATGTGTTATTAGTGGCCAACCGTGCACTTCCCCCTACTTAATATGCACGATATTTTGGTATGCCGAAATTTCGATACCCGAATAGCGAAAATCGAACCGAAGAACCGAAATACCAATATTCTAATATCGAAGACCGTACCGAAAACCAAAGAACCGAAACCGAAGAATCGAATTAGTTCGGTCCAGTTTTATGATTTTTCGGTTATTATGCAGGCCCCTGGTTTTAGCCGCATGTCATGTTTTTTGTGCTTATTTGAACAAATAGGAGACTAAATAATATTGAAAAAATACAAATTGATCGGCCAACCTAAACTAACTCCATTCGTTAGCCAAAAAAAGGTCTAAAATATATATAAGGTCTAAAATATATATATTTTAGGTACATAATACACATATATACCATAAGGACAAATATATACATGACTTTCTCTTCAAACAATCGAACATCTTCACGTGACTTTACAATCGTATTTCTATCTTTAGGCTTCTTATATTTATTACCTTGTAGAGAATCATTTTTATTATAATTATAGCCACAATTATTTAGTTATATTTTTCTTTTATGATCACGCGAAACGCAGACACATTAACTAGTTTAATAGGAGTAGCTTGTTTGACCAAGCTTCTAAAATCAGTTTATTTTGAGACACAGACACGTTAACCAGTTTAATAGGAGTAGCTTGTTTGATCAAGCTTCTAAAATCAGTTTATTTTGAGAAGGATTTTCTTTTCCAAAAGTGCTTTTCTTAAAAATACTTTTGGTGAGAAGCAATTGATGTTTAGCTAGTTAATTTGAAAACCACTTTTGAGCAGCAATTAGCGTTGGGCATAGTTTTTAAAAAATGCTTCAAGTATATTTTTCTCAAAAGTGCATTTTAAAAAAGTACTTTTGGGGAGAAACTACTTTTTTTTTTTGCTTCTCCAAAATTGCTTCTGCTTCTACTCAAAAACATTTCTTTTTCTTCTAAAAGCTTGTTCAAACATTTTAAGTTTAAAATAAATTACTTCTTTTTGGAAGAAAAATGCTTTTGTCCTGGAAGAAGCTTGGCCAAACAGGCTATAAAACTATTTCAGATACTATAGGGACAATTTTGAAGGGAAAATGACATTGTATATCCACTCCCAAAATAATAGCTGAAAAATATATATTTTCTGTATATATATAGAATATGTTATATACAAAAATTATAATAATTTTAATACACTTTTTCAACTACTTAAATAGTTTCTGACGCGTGCTAACAGTGAAAACAGCCCCAATTTGAACAGTTTCTCTTCAAACAATTGAACATCTTAAAGGCCATTGTCTAGGCCCAAGAAAGTGTTGGGCCAGTCCACTGAATAACGCCAAAATTTCACGGTATAGCCAGTTTTCGGACTGGTCAATCAAAAATAGCCAGCGTTTACCAAGTCAATGAAAAATAGCCACCGTTTTGCTGCAATAGAGACCAGTCCAGCATAATATAGTGGAGTTCGGTGCACTTGTGTATAAACTCCAGCATAATAATACTTTGCTGGTTCCAGTATAATATACTGGAGACTGGAGCACTGGTGCTCCAAACTCCAGTATATTATACTGGACCATTATACTTGCTGGAACTCCAGTATATTATGCTGGAGTTCTAGTGTATTTATGTTGGAACTCCATCATATTATGCTGGAGTTCCAGCATACTATCCTGGAACTCCTGAATATAATATGTTGGAGTTCAAGTATACTTATGCTGGAACTCCAGCATAATATACTGGAGTATTTTCCGGATTTTAAACAGTGTTTTTGCTCAGATTTATTTTTACATAAAAAATGGCTAAATTTCGATTACTTTTGAAATTGGGCTATTTTTGAAGGACCAGTTATAAATCTGGCTATTTCACCCTGAATAACGGCCCGCATGACTACTGCTCTTTCGGAAAATGTAAAACCCCCAACAGGCAGCAAAGCATCACTCACGCATTCTCTCACCGACCTGAAACAACAAGGTAGGAGCACTATTCATCTCTCTATATGCGCTTATGCCCATGAAATGGATGTATGATTGTTGTATTGTTAGGGTTTCCTAGGGTTTCATTTCAGCGATTTTCATCCTCACACTTCGATTGCTTATTGCGTGGCTTCTTAGAGTTTTGACTATTTGTGAGCTATTTCTATGCCGTATGAAGATGTCATTTCTGTAAATTCTTCAGATGTTGGACTGGTTTTTTCTGTTTATATGCTCATTCATTTCCTCCTGATGGTTATATACATACTATGTTACTATATAGGTGCATAAAACAGTAAATATTGGAAGTTTTTAAGTGCAAGGATAATTGATACTAGGTTTTTGTCTGTTTAAAATGGTTTATGGTTTTGATCGTAACAAGAACTAGCTTCAGTTCGATAATAAGATTTGATTTCCTTTCCACATTTGACCATCTGGAATTAGTTTTATGTCAAATAGGCGATGAATAGGATGACCATATGTGTGATTAGATCATCCAAATAGATTTTTCGAAGAAGAAAATTTCGCTAGCTGTTGTTGTGGAATAGGTATCTGACATTGTATTTTGGTTCGAACAAGGCTACTAGAAAGTACACAGTTCCCTAGTGATAGAACCACATCCTGTATGTCAATCTGCTTGTGATGTCATTGAATCATTGATTATATGTACATATATTAGGAATTAGCATAATCTTAGCTCTTTGGCAAGCACCATTTTCCCTGTGGCGTAGCTATCCTGTAAAAACCGATTTTGTCTATGCCTATGGGCAAGAGACTGATTGACAATTGCAGTAATTTCATATGATGCTGGAATTAAACCAAATTGGAAAAGGGATATAAATGGGTTCTCAATTCTTCAAATGTGTATATCCATTTTTCATTTGTTAATGACAGGAAGATTTTGGAGACGTAAATTGAGATGGCAGCCAGGAACGCTTTCAGATATGTTTCTCGTAGGCTCTCAAGCAGTGGCAAGGTGTTAAGCGAGGAGGAAAAAGCTGCTGAAAATGTCTACATCAAGGTAATTCTTTAGTAGTAATTTATAACTTACATGACTTGTGCCTGCAAGTATATTTGCAGTAAAATTTCTGGTAGTGCTAAAAAGCTGTGTTGCATTTTGTTGGTCTATTACTCTATTTGACGCAATGGATCCTGGTTTTGCTTTCTCTTAGATGTTCTATTTTTGTCATAATCTCATACTGCTCATTTGCCGTAGTAGCATGTATACAATTTTGCCTCCTAAGTTCAATTTATATAAGTATATCATAGCTCTGTTTCTTCCTTTTCATACCCAAAATAGTATCAATTACTAATAGGTATAATGGGGCACTTTTTTGACAGTTAAAGTGTCATTAATATATGTACACACTGCTACTGCTAACGGCTATCGGTTAACTTCCTTTTTTATCATTGGTTCAGAAGTAGGAAAGACTTTTACTTTGGTTAAGTTTGGTAGTTTTTGTCGCAACCCAGCATATTGCTAACAGTTATTTTACCTTCTTTCCTATGGGTCTTGGTACCTCTATGGTAAATGTTGGGTGTTCTCTTATTTTACTTATGTGCTTTTGCTTTTTTATGAAGTGTTCATTCATGAGATATGCTGCATGAAGTTTGTCTTCTCGTCTTATCTAAATGGTAGTTTCTCCACTTTGCAGAAAATGGAGAAGGAGAAACTGGAGAAGCTTGCACGCAAGGTATGGAAATTGATATTTATACAGTGATTCATTGTGCTCCGCCTTTCACTCCCCTCTTTAGGCATGTCTGCACCCTTAATGATTGGACTCATTGGCTGAGAGTTGGCAACTACAAAGAAGAAATGAGGTTAAGTCTAGGGGTACCAATTATTAATGTTATCAGAATAGCCTTTTGTTGGTTCCATTTTGTATATCCTAGAAGTCTACTGAGTCAGGAAGATGTTGCCATGTTGCTATACGTTTGTTGCTTATCATACTCTCCTCTCCACCATATTATGTGTTTAATATGAGATTCCCTCCGACAGCTCGCCTCTTTGTCCTGATGTTTATCGCCTCCTCTTTCCCTGATTGCCTTCTCTTTCAGACAGGTCTGGGTTCTGATAATAGCTTGGAGAGGTTACTGACTGCTTATGTGTGTGAAAGCCATCATTTCAAGATTCACTTGAAATGGTCATTTCCCGTTTGACAGTGTGCTGACTGACCTACTTGTACAATGTCAAGAATCTTGAGATGTGCACCATACTTATGGGCATTGAGCCGACTTTAGTTGACATAGAAGTGCACTCATCAACTTTTGAAATTTAACTTATGTGAGGTTGGATAAAGAAATGAAATACTCGGGTAACGAAATAAATGCTCAAT